GATTTCAATTGTTCCAATGTAAAAAGTTCATCAATTGATAAACATCGATCATTGAAAGAAATGATTTTCGAATAATTAAATAATTGATCATAATGACGAATAATTAAATAATAATTTTGATTCATTTCAATAAAAATCATTTGAAATAAATACGGAAAATAAATATTGAAATCTTTTTTTCCATTGGAAATTTTTTCAAAAATTTGTTTTTGTGATGAAGGTATTCCATTAAGGATTTCTGTATAAATATAAACAAATACATATGAAGATGGAGAAATTTCATTGGAAAAAGATATTTTTAAATGAGACTTTTTTTGTTCACAATGAATTCCAAAATATTGTGAAGAACATAAACATAAATAACTTTCCGAATGAAATCTTTCATTAATAACTAAACATTTGCCTTGATTTTGACAATAATCCAATGGACATGAATGTTTTAATAAACAACGAAAACCAAATTGATTCAATGGACACATACAAATTGAACGATTGAAATATTTATCTAAACAAATCGAATCAGATGAACAATCGTCACAATTCAATGGAATTTCACAAAAATATCCTGAATAACCAGAATGACATAAACAAAATTCTTGATTTTCATTAAGATATTTTTGACAAAATCCATTTTGACATTTTAATGAACATTTGGAATTGATTGGAGAAAGAGGTAATGTTAATAATAAAGCCATTCGATTCACAGGAAGAAAAACAAATGGAATTGGAAAAATCCAACTTGAAATATATTTCAAAGAAAGTTTTTCATAAAGATCAATATGAATCGAATAATTTTCATCGAAATCTTTTGATCTTAATGAATATAAAAGATAAATATTAAATGATTGTCGACATTCACTTTGAGGAATAAAGAAGATTTGTTCATACGAATAAATTTCTCTTTTTTTATTAATTAATTTAATAAAAAAATGATAAAGAATTTCTTTATTTGGAGATAAAAATGTAAATGTTAAACTTACACGTTGATTTTGATATTCACAGAAATCTCCATAATAATTTGGTGGACAAAAACATTTGAATGAATTTATTGAAGAATTTTTTGTTGAAATATAAATTGAATAACCACGATGACAAGTCATTGAAGATTTCAAAGAAATTCTTTTTCTTGGAGAAATCTTTTCTTTTAATTGAAATAAAGATTTTTGATGACAAAGATTTTCTTTTAACAAACTTTGATTTAAAGAAATCCATTCGGGACATAAAATTTGATTAAAATGACAAAATAATGAAGATTGAAAACAAGTTGAAGAATTTAAACAACGTAAATGAGATGAAATTCCTTTCGAAGAATCAACAATTGAACATAAGTGAAGTTCATCTATTCCTCCAATACAATCAACAATTTCATTTTCAATTTCATTTAAAGATAAACATATTAATGTCGAATTTAATGAAGAAATACATTGAAGAGAATTTTGTGAACAATTTAATATTTGACACATTTGTTCATCTTCACCATTTGGACAATTCCAAATTCCATTACATCGTGTATAAATATTATTACATGGCCAATTGTCACAATTACTTTCATCAGTATGATTTTGTTCATTGAGAAATTGGGAAGAAGAGAAATCAATATGTTGATCACAGATTTGATGAAAAAGAATTTCATTAAATTTTTCATCATCATTTAATAAACATTTGTGAGAAGTTTTTAAAATTGGTGATCGACAGAGATTTTCATTAAAACATCGAAAACGAAATGTATCGTTTAATAAACAACTCAATTCCAAATGAAATTCATCTTCTTTTAAATAACAATCAATAATTCCATCAGCAATTCGATGTTTTGATATCAATTTTGAACTATTTTCACATTGATACAAAGATTCAATTTTATTTAAAGATTTCCATTTATATTGATTTTCACATCCATTAAAAGATGATTTTATTGTATCTATAACTGATTTCCATGTTTTATAATTCTTTGTTAAATCTAAACCAAATTCAGAAGCAAATTTACATGAAAATGATTTATAAAAAAATGTTGAATGAAGAAATGAACATAATTGTTGATCATAACAAATGAAATCTGGTAAAAGAACATAATTTATTTCAATGAAATCAATTTGTTTTGGACGATATAAAAAATAAATATGTCCAAAAAGAACAGGATTAATAGGAAATTGAATAAGATCATCACAACTATGAAGAAATTGTTGAAAATGAAAATTCGAAAAAAATTCTTCACAAAATGTTTCATTTAATTGTTTCATAATTTGTGTTAAACAAATCATTGAAATCCAACAATGATTTGATAAATTCCCTTGTAAAATTAATGATTTAAATAACATAAGATGACGTCCATTAAAACATTGATCATAATCTTCAACACATTGTCCATCACCACATGAAAATTTCATTTCACCTGGTGGACAAATATTTTCTTCACAATAAAATAAATCAATGAATAAATCGGAATTGGGACATGGATAAATATTTGCTAAATCAGATTGATCAACACATTCAACTGTATAATGTTCATATTGATAATAATATTTGGAAATACATTGTCCATTATGACAACGATATTCATCTTCATTACATTCATTGATTTCTAAATGAAAACAATTCATTTCATCAATTCCATTGTTGAAACAATCGATACGACCATCACATATTTCACGCCAATCTAAACAAAATGAAGATTCACCTCGATTACATTCAAATAATTCATAACATGAAAATGATGATGAAGATCTCGGAATTAAAATATTCATTTTGTCATTTTCTTCAAAAGAATATTGACATTGATCACCAAACCAAGATTTCGTACAATTATAAAAGATTTTATTGAATATTTCGGATTTATTTTCTTGATTTAAATAATGTTGATATTGTTCAGCAATATCAATTGATTTCGACCAAAGAAAGATTTCATTTGGATTAATATTTAAATGAAATAATTCTTCAAATGTACAAATTTCATTATAATTTCGAAGATACTCTTCATTAATTAAAAAAATTGAATTCTTTTTATTTAAACGAATACAATATTCAATTTTCATTGGTATTATTGAATAGATTGAATAATAATATAAACAATCATATCCAAAATAATTACTTAAATAAAAATCTTGACAAAATTTTAATTTGACCTCAATAAGAATAAAAAATGTTAAAAAGAAGAAAAGATTCATTTTTTATTTCTCAATGAGAAATGAAGGAAATGTTCTCTTCAGTATTTATACGACTGATATTCAATAAAAACTTGTCTTGAACAATTTCCATCAATCATTGTCTCTTTTTCTTTATGACTTTTGAAGTCAAATAATCATTCATTATCTTTTCTTTGAACAAAAATTTTTTATTAAAAAAAAAGTAAAGAGATAAATGATTATTTGAAATTTATTAAATGAATA